TCGTTCAGTAGCTTATTAACTAAAGTATCGTACCAAACGCACAATTGAATTGACTAACCCCGGAATCATGGATTTATTTGAAGTTTTGAAGTGGGCGATTAGGTCGCAGAAGTTCTCTACCCTATTTACCTTAGCATTACAAAAGCGAATTTAAAATTACTATTTTATTTTATGCTAATATTAAATTATGATAAAATTACAATTTACGGCTCCGTGAAATTAACTCGCTTGAAACTTTCAAATCAACGAACAGGAGAAAAACTACAAATTGCAAAAAAAAAATCATAGCAACACTTGACAAATCATCAACAAACCCCTCATCCTTGGACAGGGAACTTTGACATGATGTAACTTTGTTAACTTATGATCAATGCCAAAGAACAACAAATATGTTCCATTTTACGATTACAAAATATTAAATTTTTGGAAGCACCTGCCGGAAAGTGAGACACCAGGTAAAATTGTTTAAAATAGTAGCAGTTTTTTATTTGCTGCTTGTTTTAAACATTTTTAACTATTATGTACATTTGTTAATTGGTGGAGATTGTTAGAATTTTGAGAAATGTAAAATTTAAAATCTCAAAATTGAGCTGAAATGCAAGTTATTAGTAATACTATTATTTTGAACAATTTTACCTAGTGTCTCACTGTCCGGCAGGTGCTTCCAAAAATTTGGTATTTTGTAATCGTAAAATTGAACATATTTGTAGTTCTGTGGCAAACGTTTCGGCTCAATTGATCTTAAGAGAACAAAGTTACAAATTGTCAAAGTTGACCATTTTGTCTAGAAATCGGCATGCACTGCTATTATAATGAACACAGGTGTAGGACGTTTTGACTAGTCAAGTTGTACATCGGACATGTTACATTGGATGATTTTTCTCAATGACATAATCAATAAGTGTTACATTGGACGTTTTGTTCTACATGATACTAGCACAGACAAACAGACATAACACATTGAATATTTCTCATTGCAAAACATCGTCGCTAAAACATTACCGCCATCTGTTGAGTACAGTGTGGTGGGTAGTACGCTGAACAGATGGCGGTACTGTGTAAACGTCAAACGCAAGGAAATTGACTATACGCGCCACAGGTGACAGTACTACCAACTGAGATACTTTTGAATTGACTGTTAAATGCTTGTTCGATCAACAACTTGTGAGTGTTATGTCTGTTTGTCTGTGATACTAGATTCCCTTTCACAGATTTCAGAATAGAGTACCTAACCTTACCATGCCCCGCCTTTAGAAAATGAGCACCAATCATGTTAGGCAGTCCAAATGTCCGAAGTAACAATCACGAACTTATCATTTCAAACTGTACATGGGACAATTTTTACCAATGATTATCTTAAATAAATTAAAATAAATCTGTATGGGTGTTTTTGTATCACAACATAGAAGGGCAATAATTTGTATAGATTAACTCGATTTGTTTACATTTGTTACTTAAGACCTTTTGAAAAGTTATATGAGAATTCATCTATTTACTTTATGCCCTAAGTTAAGAAAGTTGTGACTAGGAAAGTAAACAGAAATACATGTTTTTAAAAGTTTGTTCTGAGCTAACGGCTAACGCGACGAGATAGCATCGATTCAAATCTTCTGCGTGCGAGGGAAATTGTTATCAAACCGAAGCGCATCTGGTGGCCAATACAGGAAACAACTAGGTCCAATCATGATACTGCGTACACAGACAAACAGACATAACACTCGCAAGTTGTTCATCGAACAAGCATTTAACGGTCAATTTAAAAGTATCGTAGTTGGTAGTACCATCACCTGTGGCGCGCATAGTCATTTCCCTTGAGTTTGACGTTTACACACTACCGCCATCTGTTCAGCGTACTACCCACCACAGTGTACTCAACAGATGGCGGTAATGTTTTAGCGACGATGTTTTACAGTGAGAAACATTCAATGTGTTATGTCTGTTTGTCTGTGCTGCGTATATGAATTAGGAATTTTGTCAATCATTCAAACTTTTTAGTAAAATTAATGCATTAAAATAGTCAGTTAATATGAAGTTTATAACTTTTAATAGTATTATACAGCACAAAAGTTTAGAAAACGTAAAAAAAAACAATCCTTTTGTGGACGTGAGCCATGTTGATGAGAAAATGAGTTAAAAGTGGACAATTTTTAAACGCATAATAAAACCGAAATTATTTGAAAAATTCTCATAAAATATTTGTTATTCAATAAAAAAAAAAACCTTTATAGTTGTGACATTTTAGAAAAAGTTTCTTAGAAAATATGGACTAGATTAGCACTAGTAAAAATAGGTCCAACCATTTCATTTGGATAGGTTCAACCATTCATTCATTACATGGTGTGGTTTTGAAGACATGAAAGTCTATTTCCAAACGATGGCTAAAATATGGACTTCTGTTTTATACAGGATGCAATACTCCAAAAGGAATTTTGCCCCACTTCACTCTACAGCATAAAATGGAAAATATGACCTTGCATTCTTCTACTGTACAGCTCAAGTGTATACAATTATGCCAAACCGCAAACGAGTGCGATAGATACTTGAAGATATTTGGAAAGAAACCACGTCAATTCTGTACCACATTCGCTCTTTGCTGGTACATGCCGAGCACAAGTCCCCATCCGTACCTGCATCTGATATGATGGGCTAATGTTTATTCGTAAAACTCCTCTACTGCATCAGCATGAATGAAAGCACAGACATAAAAATCGTACGAAACTGGTTACGTTCTGGTTCATGAAGCATCGATAACACTGACAGAAGAGAGCAAGAGAGAAGGCCGAAACTTGCGATGGCAGCATGAAAGAGAGAGAGAGGGATTGTAAAACGAATGGATAACTAAACGTATCGTAAAAGCATCTTCACACTTTGGTTGGCTTTGGCTCGTACTAGTGGTGAGTAAACTCTCCCCGCTAGGCCAACTTCCATTAAAATACGCTGACGCACTGAACCGACGACGGCGAACGCGTCTCTGCAGTATTAAGCAGTGTGGAATCAATCCACGAAGCGCGAGAGCAAAGAATAGCACGCAAAGGCAAAACTAACAGGCAAGGGTAGCAGAACAACGGTACACCGGCCAGGCTAGATTTGACAAGTCATTGACTTGGAAATTATCTGATGCTGCTCTGGTGGATGACTCCGGTGTTGCTCGTGCTAGTTCCACAATAACATAGGTGGGACGACCTTGAACCAGGAACGTAAAAATAAGACATGATTTTTGACTTAGATTTAAAGTTATGTAAAACAAAGGGGCGTTGGCTGTTAGATGTTATAGAGGACATATATCAGGTACCTAATTTATCCTATGATAAATATTATGTATAAGTTTAGTAGGGCAAAATCACTTATGTTTTGAGGGACCAACCTTTTTTATTTTTAAAAAAAGGCGTATGATTGTTTGCTATTTTCTAATTTAAAAAATGTATTATCAAAAATAGTTATAAAGAGAAATAGTTTAATTTTACAGTTTTACGTACAGTGCCGCTATGGACCAGGAATGCAATCTAAGCGGGACAAAACTATTAACTGTAAAACGAAGCATTTCCGTAACTTGGTGTCTTCAACTAAGTTTCAGCTGAAAGGGACCCTTTGATTGTTGTAAAAATTGCAACTGTCTATGACCGTGTTTTTTTAACGATTTAACACTCATCGCGAGTGCTCAGCGATCATAAGATTTCCAATTGTGATCCTGTGAAAGTGAAATTGACAAATTTCGGTCAACTTTTCCTTATTTGAATTTATTTTTTTCCAGTTGAAGTTTAAATACATTTTAAACTTCAACTGGAAAAGAATAAATACAAATGGGTAAATGTTGACCGATTTGGCTCAAATATTTAACAAAGCCTCAGGATTGCATAGAAAACATGTGTAATTATGGCGAGTGGGAATGATTATGTTTTCTAAAGTTAGAAAAAAAATGCTATTTGTTAGTATAAAAATCATATTCAATTAAAAAAATCTCAACGAATTTCAGTTAAATCACCATAAATGGGCATATATTTCAAAAGATCTTTATTGAGTGCTCAGGGCGATAGTGCCACACAGGCATGGAAAATCATTTGCATTCATTTCGTGCATTCATTTACATTCATTTGCCTCTAACTTTTTTCTTCAATAGCATTCTGCAAACAGCGAACAGAAGCCACTACTGTTTTTCAGTGAATATATTTTACATTCACTTAAAAACAGTAACAAGTTCTTCCCGCTCTAGTTCGTGATACATAAAAGATACAGATTTAAGTTATGAGCAAAACTTGTAGCTAATAACAAAACCTACAAAAATTCTATACATCATTTTGCGGAATGCTGTTGATGAAAAAAGTTAGTGGCACATGAATGCAAATGAATGTATGAAATGAATGCAAATGATTTTCCATGCCTGGTGCCACATCCAGAAATGTACTCAAAAACATCTCTTGCGTCGAAAGGCAAAACTATCTATACGCCGAATTTCAAAAGGCAGAAAAACATAAGGTGTAACTTCAAAAAAAAAAAAAAATAAAAAAAAAATAGAATTTTGAAATTTTAGAATCCCAGAAGGCCGAATCCCACAGAGCTGAATTCCAAAAGGCCTACAAGGGCCTTTTTTGGCCTTTGATAAATGTAATTATTTTTTTTCAATACAATTTTCACGCGACATTGAGAGCGCATGAGAGCGGAAAATATCAATTTGCTAATGATTATGCCATAACTGAATGAAAGAGATATCTATGTTGTATAAAAGTATAGCAAACTTGTGGTGGTTTCCCTAATAAAGACATAATTTTCAAGAACCAAAACTAATATACGATTGCAAATCAATTTCTGATGGAAGTTTCTATCTTATTTCCCTAACACAGACATCGAAATCACGGTACGGTAGAAAATCTATATTCCTCAAAGGTGCTTACCGATTAGAAATTAACTTTGGTCGATGTGCATAGTATTTTTTAGTGCGATATAACCTGACTGATGAACTTATCACATGAGAACTAAACAAAAAGAAGTGACATGTCACTCACCTGTAGTTCGGCACGATCGACATCCCATTGAGACCGTTCCAGCTCGAACCGAGCCCACTCGTGCTGAATAAAGTGCAGGATGCCCGGAATCGAGTACTGTGTCGGCGAGGCTTTGTTGTTCTGATCATCCTGACCACTACCGACGCCTCCCGTTCCTACCATGCCGCCGCCACCGGGTTTGTTGTTGTTCATTCCTCCCATGGAATTGTTGTTGTTCACCATGCCACCGAGACCACCGACGCTACCGCCGGCTTGGACACCAGATCCGGCTCCACCGACGCCCATTCCACCGAGTTGACCACTGCCACCATTCTGATGGTTCAGTGCAGAATTTTCATCCATTCTTTCGTCGATTCTGTTAATTCTCATGACATGTCCACCATTTACCACGACCGGGACGAAAAGAGTAGAATTTCACCAATCAAAAGTTCCGGTCAATTATTATCTGTTTCTGTGTTTTTTCTTCTAGTGATATTTCGGATTCACTTTGTTACTAAAGAAAATGAAATGAAAAATTGAAGCATCCGTTCTACTATCGCTACTACTATCCGTACTACTCTACATCCGACAGAGGGATAAAGGATTGAAACAACTAGCAGAGTTAAATGTTGTTATTCACTTGCAGTGAGTTCTGATGCATTGTAACCCGGGATGGAAAATCATTTAAATTCATTTCGTACATTCATTTGCTTCGAACTTTTTTCATCAACAGAATTCCGTAAAATTGTGTTAGAAGCTGTTGTAGGCTTTGATATTAGCTACATTGTTTGTAAACAACTCAAATCTGTATCTCTTATGCATGATGAATCAGAGCGATAAGAACCCACCATTGTTTTTCAGTGAATGTAAATTGCATTAACTGAAAAACAATAACATGTTCTGCCAGCTCTATTGCATCATGCATAAGAGATTCAGATTTTAGTTATTAACAAAATTTGTAGTTGATATCATAAGCTACAAAAGTTTCATACATCATTTAACGGTATTCTGTTGATGAAAAAAGTTAGAGGCAAATGAATGAAAATGAATGCACGAAATGAATGTAAATGATTTTCCATCCCTGATTGTAACTGGGGTTATCTACAAAACAAAACCACCGTGAAACCACGATTGTTCGGTCTCATCTCTACTAGACGTATAATTAAGTAATTCAAAATAAATGAATTGCGAAAAAACAACCATTGTATGTGAAACTCATAGCCTAGGCATATACGGCAGGAAACGTTTCTGGATCCAAGTTATTACCGAAAGAGAAAGTCAGCTTCTTCGTCGTCTAGGCTTTTTACCTTTCTAGAAATTCTTCTCGGGACGCCTTTTTAAAGAATTCACTTGGAATTAATCACTGAAAATCTGAATTCTCTAAATACTTCAAGTCTAGACGAACCAATGAAAAGAGCCAATGAACCAAATGTAAACAGTGACTCGCGGATTAAGACACATTTAGGTAAACCAAGCAGTGTTGTACTTCGCGAGAAAATTTACATTTGGCTCATTGAACCTCTTCACATTGTCGTCTAGAAGTGCAATGTGTCGTTGTCAACTTATCGACCTAGAACTTCTCCACTAGGAGGGACCCAAGCAGAGCCCTAAACGTAGCCGATATCCTGCAAGGAAGGACAGATTGAGGCTATCCAGAGGCAAATTGACATGAATGTTCAACCCCGACCTCTTCGTAACAACCTTATGCTACGACTGCCTCTACGTCGCACAAATTATGGAGCATACGGTGCGATCTGCGGACTGCAGAGAGTATTAAACAGAGTTGCATATGTCTTCGACTTTCATCTCTCCCTGGCTATAAGAGATATGTTTTCTATTTTGTCCATATGACCATCTATGACCATACTTGAATGTATTTTTTTACTATAATTGATAAGGTTAACATCATTGGGGCTTCATCCAGCATGTTGATGTAAAACAATAAACAATATGCTATGATTTATGCAAGAGGCTCCACCATTTTGCTATAAGACACACATTTGATAATTCCACTGCTTTATTTGCTTATCCTTGACAGATACGCGTATTTCGTCTACAATGTGCAGACTTCTTCAGTGTCTTGTACTAATACTCGACGCAGTAGCTGCGCCTTTACCGACTGAGCTAAAGGAGTATTGTTTGTACCCCTTGAAAAAAAAAAAAATAAAAAAATACATTGTATCATCTTCAGCTATTTAGTATAAAATGAATCGACAAATATATAAACAAAACTGCCAGAGGCCAGAGCTTTCACATATATTTTTAATGGGTCTGATTTGGGATTCGATCATGGACTGTTGGGGTGTGCTGCTGCCGGAGTCTTCGTTCGATCTCACTGTGCCACGGTTGTTCTCATATATGAGGCGGGTTGATAAGATAAAGTCACAAGTCTTGTTTTCGATGTTTACCTTTCTGAGCAAGCAATTCACATCGCATTGAAATGCAAAACACGTTAAATCCTTCTGTTTGAACAGTAGTGTGATTCATTGTGCAATACATTTGAATATATAGTGAAAGATTTTCAACATTTCAAAATTTGAAAAACTATAAATTAACGTGTATAGCACATTGAACTAATGTGAAATACACTTAAAGTAAATGTGATTGTGCATTTAAAAAATCAATTGTTTAAACCCTTCGATCAAACGTGTGGAATTTTTTGAGTGTAAGGCCAAATATGATTTAAATGGCATGTAAATTGTATGATTATCGTAAAATGTCGCATGTAACATAATCATTAATTTGCCAAGTGGGTGTAATAGTTAATTAAAAATGAGATGTCCGGATTAAAAGACTGTCCGGTATTCGGTGCATTACGAACGCTACCAATTATTTTTTCCCTTGATTAGTTTTCCGTACTAGTGCCAATGCCGACGCCAGAAAATCCCGACGGCGCCGACTGAGATTGAACCTATGCACCATGGCATGGTGTGAGAGGCAGTCACGCTTACCACTACACCACCGGCGCCGCTTGTACCACTTGTTAAAAATTGCCAATTAAATGATTATTTCCCCTGATTTGATCATGAGCTGTTTTTTTTCATATTCCGTTGAAGTAACGAATGATCTCCAACGGAATGTGCCTAATGCTACCGAGCACTAGTATGCGATCAATTGTACTCACTTCTATTATGTGAGTCGTGTGACTTGGAGAGGGTCTAGGATAAGAGAGGAATGGACTGGCTGGTTTTGATCCAAACGAACCTTCAAAGCCAGAGCCAATCGAGCAGCGCCTATATTAATTGCATTGGCAGTGTTGCTAGAATCTAGAGAGTGTCTAGAATCCGCCTAGGCATTGTTTTGAATCCACTTCTCTCTTATCCTAAACCCTAGTGCTATGACGAGGTCGTATTTATCGATAATATCGATATCGGTCTCTGACATTATCGATATCGGATTTTGAGTATCGATATCGGATCCAATATCCAATATTCAATGGAAAATACATTAAACATATTTCATTCTCTTCCAACTTCATAATGCATTTGGAATATCAAAAACTACACAAAATTACACAAACAAAAATATTCTGTCCACTCTTTGAGCCTACATCGCTCAAAACTAGCCGTGTTTTCGAAAACAAACGCTCCCAAGAGACCGAGGTTGTAATATTTGATAGAAGTTTCAGAGCCACCAGGAACAAATATGGGAATGTACTCTTCTTACTTGTCCTAAGTAAGATAAGTACCGTAAAATAGCACACGTCATTAGTTCGATACCACTTCTCATGTACCTACATACCAATTTTCGTACGAAGTGAGCCGTCCACTTCGGTTATTGTTGCGTTGAACCATTCCCTCGTGATAACTCCATACCAAATTAGCGGTAGAGATCTTTCTCAATGGCTCGTCACGAACAAATTCTTCGTTACCAAATACTTCAACTGGAGATAGAACCATGTCGATGATTATTAACATCAGACCGATATCGAATTTCGATTATTGTTGATATCGGATTTTTAAATATCGGTTATCGTATCGATAATTTATCCCCGCTATTTATCGATAATATCGAGACTTATCGATATCGTCTCAGCACTACTAAACCCTCTTTAGCATGACTTTCCGTGCAAATAAAATGGACAGTCAAACGACTCCCAGAACAGACTTGATTAATTTTTCGATGAAAATAATTATGCATATTGTGCAAGCAGAACAGTTTTATCAGGATATAATGATAGATTGCTAGTTTTCCCAGGTTCTTGATGTATCCTGATATATCTTGAAGGACATCTTTAATGCTACTTGTCCCACGTATTAACTACAAAATCTCGATTACTTTTTTGGAAGGACATATAAGCTTTTGTAACCAACGCATTTGATCGTCTGTTTGGCGTAACTGCTAGCTCGCTCATGCATACTAACACCACTATCAGGTAGGGGAAAATTTACCCTATCTGATGGTATTGTTAGCATGCCTGGGCGAGCTACCAGTTACATAAAATCGACGATCGAATGCATTGTTTACAAAAGCTGATACGTCCTTTCGAAGAAGTAATCGAGAAATGGTACATGAAGCATAATTTCTACAGTACTGAATTCATAGTAGATTGAATGACCTACATATGTTCACTTACTTTGGTATTTTTGAAACCTATTGGTAAAATTTAGAGCCCCATCTATGTATATGTAGCTATGCGTTTGTACCAAATCAAAACCAACAATTGAAATGGCCTTAACTCCATTTTGTAAACACACCTTGTAAGGCCATTTTCTCGCGAACCGAAACCTTCATTCGCAAACCTCAACCAAAATCGGGTAGAGGAGAATTTTACCTACCTGTTCATTATGTTGGTTTGCCTTTGCGGTCTTCGGAGTTAAGGCCATTTCAATTGTTGGTCTTGATTGGTCGTTTTGAAAAAGTACTCGAGCATTGTTTACATTAAATGTACCAGGTTTGTTTACAAAATGGAGTTAAGACCATTTCAATTGTTGGTCTTGATTGGGCCAACGATTGCTGAGTTCTTTATGGTGATTCCTTATAGTGTCCTTTTTCGCATTACACTTCGAAATTTCACAAGCCAAAATAGTAAGGTGTACGTAGGTGAAACTACTTCTTGTTGTTTGCTGCGGAGAAGTAGATCTCGAGTTGTGTGATCTTGAAATTGCGAAGTGTGATAAGAAAAAGGACGCTACAGGGAGTGTGGAATCAAAGAATTGGCCATACGTCAAATCGAAACTAATCAGCTTCATCATTAACACTCCAAACATCGATTCAACAAGATTTTATTCTTGGAAAGAAACCGTGTCAACTCAAACTACGAATAATGATGAGGGAAAAAGGATTTTCTTTGAGCGTAACAGTAATTACTTGGCCATGTTTAAAGCTGTGAGATCAAAATGTAATATTCGAGTGAATTCAAAGCAAATTATGATCGGATGATGGTTTCTGGTAATAAGTATTAATTTTGGAAATTCACTGCAGCCAACAAAGTGAAATTCAATTAAGTTCATTCTTTGAACTGTGCTATCTTCCGTCTTTTTGATCCAGTAAACAGTATATGTGCATAGAGCAAGATGCCACAATCGATACGGTTATGGATTAGTACGGTTCTGTAGCGGACAAACCCTGGCAACAATGCACCGAATCAGTAGTAGTGTAGTAGGTAGTAGGAGCAGCGGATAAAAAACTTTGAAGGTATGAAAGAACCATCTTTTTTACGTCGTTTCCTCTTCCCTACGAAACTATTCTGTTCACAGAATCACTTCTGACACCCCAGAAGCGAGGAACGTAAAGAAAAAAAAAATGGAACTAGAAAGAGCAGAACGGGGCGGCCGCCACAGTAGAAAAGTAGCAGCAGCAGCAGCAGCAGTCGGCCTGAAATCGAACCTTTTTTCCCTTTCTTGGGACTCTTTTTTTCTCCGATTGTTCGGAGATCGGATCACTTTAGCACCATGTATTCGAGTCGAACTAATTCCTTCTCCTAGCTCGACGTCGATTCTTGCTCCAGCTGTTACACAATGGATTTCCAATTAGTATTTAGTCAGCGGCACCCCCGTTTTCGCGATCGAATCACCGTGTCTGCTGCTTTTTTCTTCTTTTCCACTTTTGTCAGAAATTGCACAGCAAAAAAAAACTTTCTCGCGGAAGTCTTCTCAAGTGAGCGGACTTTTGGCTTATTGCACGGGCACGGATGAAACACTCGCGCACTCACACCTTCTTGCCAACACGAACACAGCACTCACACACATGCACGCCTCCGCGCACCCAACGGGCCATCATCACTACTACATGTACAGCATCATATTCGATTCGCTGCTGCTGGCTGGTTGGATAGGACACCTTATATTCTCCACTGAAGCAGCCAGCCAGGCCAAAAAAATCCAACGTGAAAAATCCAGATTCCACAATCCTCGAATACCGTTTCCTATAATCACCGCTATTCCGCACGATTATTCCTTGAAATACCACACGCCAATGCACCGAAAATGCAATACTGCAGGTTCTTTTTCCTTCACTCACTTCGCGGACAGAATCGTTCGTCTCCTAGCGCAGTGAAATTCTCGTCGTCTTTCTTCTAATACCTCTTTTTTTTCTCGCGACGACGAGCGAGATTTTTGTTGGTGTTGAAGATTCGGGTTGTCGCGATTGCGTGTTAGAGAGCGAGAACTGCTGAATTCGAATAAAAAATGGCCGACACGGCGAAAATAACAATGGGAACGTTACATGGTGCACGCTAAATGAAAAACGATTCGAAGATCTTAAACATATTCTTGTTAACATAATTGGCAAATCAAAGTTAACCCAGAAGAACTATGAAAGTGATGATGATTTCAAAATTGTCCACGAAGAGGCTCGGATCGAGGCTCGGATATATCTATATATGACAATCATGTATACTTTATTGGAGCAGCTTTTAACGATTTTGACGATTGTTGATATGTCTAGCGAAATAATTTTCAACGATGTTCTATTGGAAGATTGCCGCAAAAGCTCAACGCAGATTTCGCCACGATGCACAGCAAAAAAAATGTAATATCGATCAATGTAATTGGGTTCTTTAAGCGTATTGAGGTAAATGCATAATCGTAATCTGCATTAAAAATGGAACCCAAACCCAAAATTTCATCAATTTTGGTACACTGGAACTATTTTAAATAAGCACGATTACATTTGCAAAAATCACCTTATAAGCGCCCCTCTGTGTCACTTTGTATGGGAGCGAGCTGTCAGTTTGTTAGTTTAGTGTCAAACAGTGAAGTTATTATTTTGCTTTAAATCTTGATTTAAAAATCGAGATGAAAGTGTGTGGGTTCGAAAAAAATATCGCTGTGCTCAGAAAACGAAGCTCTTTCAGATGATGTCTAAAAAACGTTACATTTTTCAAAATTAAAGAACCCAATTCAAGCTGATGTATGAAATAATGATGTAATAGCAAAAAGCAGATACAATATTACATCAATGGATGTAATTTTGTTCGCAAAATCGATGTACATCGTACAACGTTATATTCGAGGTTATATAACACAACCGATGGATTGACCTGGTTGCAGCAGTTTGGATGTAATATTCAACAACTTTTTTTTTCTGTGTGATGATAATGTTGACAGACTGCATATATAATTCGTGAAAATTAGCATTAAATCATAATTTTCATCAAGCCTGCGTGAAATCCTTCCAATATAACATTCGAATTGAAGAAGAAAACGTTTTTACGATCAGACTGATGTTCATCTTTGACTTTTCCAGGTGAACTTTCATAAGATATATTCATTTCATTTCATGGCTCCATCAATGCTGCATCGTAAATATGATGGTAAACAGAAGTAAATTGCTCAATTACTCAAAATAAAGATGATTTGTCATCTTGTTATCACTTTGAAGACCATCTAGCACCATTTTATAGTATGGTGCGTGTTGAGTAAATCAAGTTCCGGTGCGTTTTCCATCGAAAAATGTGAGTATCAATATGTTTGCTTAAAAAAGGCCAAATGAACATTTATTGAATATTGGAGTCCTATAAAACCAATTCTCTATTACCACCAGCATGATACAACCTTTCCTAAGTAAATTCACTTAATTTCCACTTTCATCTTAGTGAAAATCGCACATATTTACCATATGGCAAATCATCTTATAGCAATATTATCTTATGAAAGTTTACCTGGAAAAGTCAAAAATGCACATCAGCCTGATCGTAAAGACGTTTTTTTCTTCAATTCGAATGTTATATTGGAAGGATTTTACGCAGGCTTGATGACAATTATGATTAAATCATATTAAATCAATTTTATGCTAATTTTCACGAATTTTATATGCAACCTGTCAACATTATCATCATCATGCAGTGGCGACATCTGCGTTGAGTTTTTACGGCAATCTCCCAATCATACACTCATTGAACATGGTAAAAATTTAAAGCAAAATTGTTATACCCCGTTCACATTACAGCGTATATCACGTGATATATGCTGTCTTGCAATGAGCACTCATACATCTAGTTTTCACTGGAAATCCTACACTCAAAAAATTCCACACGTCATCATCATGTGTCTCACACTTAATTTTGCGCTTATTGTGAAACACATCCATTTCATGTGTGAATCTTATGCTATGAATCATGCCTGAACACTATAGATTTGAATTGTGACACACTTGGATTCTATGTGCCTCATATGTTGATATCAATAGCTTTGCACATCATATTTCAATATTTTACTTTATCGACTTCTACTTTACCGACTCTAAAAATGAATCGACAAATGTATAAACAAAACTTCCAAAGGCCAGAGCTTTCACTTTTCTGGGTCTGGGTCTGATTTGGGATTCAATCATGGACTGTTGGGGTGTGCTGCTGCCGGAGTCTTCGTTCGATCTCACTGTACCACGGTTGTTCTCATATATCACGCAGAAAAAAATATTTTAAAAGTAATAATATTTGACGTAAAATCAATAAGAAATTCATTTTGTTTTGGCTGCAAAAAGAAATCATTATTGTTTCAACAATCCAGTATTTTTGTTTCTAAAAACCCATGGATTGTTAAATCAAAAAGAAAATCTTTTAGAATTTACAAGAGCTTTCATGGTTTTGACGTAAGCTGTCAAATTTGGCAGCTGGGTTAACAACAAAAATATGTTTGTTTTTAAAAGAGATTTCTTGTTGATTCAATCTGACAATTCACGCAGTAGAAATAAAAATGTGTTTATTGATGTAAAAATAATATGGCAATTTTTTTTTGTTTCGTTTTCATTTTGAAACAAAATTGCAGAAATTGTAATTGAATTTCTGCCCCCGGTTCATGAGCTGATGGGTCGATATGTAGGGTCCAGATGTGGGAGCTGCCTTCCTGGCGTTGGGAGCATTGGTACTCAGGCTGTGAACCATTTGCCGAGTTAAATTTAACTCGTGGTTAAAAGTGACATTTCGAAAGTTATTTTCTATGTTCGAAAATCCCCGTGCTGTCGATCGACCGGTTTTCGAGCCACGGTTGTCAAAAATTAACTTCTTGTCTGTCAGAAATAACCATGCTCGGATAGCAGGGTTAATCGATAACTTTTCATCTGTCAAATTTTAACCAAAAGTTAAAATAATCCACCAAATGGTTCAGAGCCTCAGTACGAAAAACAAGATCGACGGAAAAAAAAATAAAGGAAAAAAAAACAGAAAAATTGATTATATTTATTACCTGCAGCTCGAATTGCAGCATACTTACTTAACTCAAGTCTCAAGATTTTCGAAAATCTTGCACTTATTTCCCGAAATTTACAATTAAAAACAATACTTACGTGGAACGCGTAAGTATTGTTATTGTTTACATTTTTGTCCGGGTGAAAACGAGGGAATGGTTGGTAGTTATTTTTGCTTTAATGGCCCAGAGAATGGACACAGCAAATAAATGCTAAATTAAAATTAACTATTGTTGGCTTAATAATAGAATATTGTTATTTTTACAATAGTTGCATTTGAAAAGTGGCTGATTAAAACAAAAAGAATCCTATTTTGAATTTATATGAATAAGTATTATTGAAACAACAAAAAGCAATATAATTTCAACTGGAATTGTTTGCTTAAATACAATTAAAGATTTTTTTGGTTCAATGCAAACAATTTTCTGTCCGTGATGGAGGTGGATTGATAGGATAAAGTCACAACTCATGTTTTCGATGTTTACCTTTCTGAGCAAGCAATTTACATCGTATTGAAATGCAAAACACTTTAAATCCATCTGTTTTGAGCAGTAGTGTGATTCAATGTGCAATACACTTGAATAGATAGTGAAATATTTTCAACATTTCAAAGTTTGAAACACTAGATATTAACGTGTATAACACATTGAACCAAGGTGAAATACACTTAAAGTAAATGTGATTGTGCATTTAAAAAATCAAGTGTTTAAACACTTCGATCAAACGTGTGGAATTTTTTGAGTGTATGCATGAGTGCTTATTGCAAGACAGCCTATATTACGTGATATAGGCTGTAACACAGACAAACAGACATAACTCTTAGAAGAAAATTCTTCAAAAATATCGTCAAGCGTATTTTGCATGCGCACTAGCACCAACAATCAATACGAAACTAACGATTTTAAATTGGCACACTACTTGACTAGCCTATTGGTCCCAAGCAAACGATTAACGTATCCCATTCTAGTCGAAATTCTAGTACTACGCAATGTTTGTTTTGATTCGCTATGAAAGTTTGACAGATAAAATGAGGGGTTATTGGTTTTTCCTATGTTTCGAGGGGTGAATCGATTAGCTTGGGACCGAAGATAGTACCAGAGCTGAGCCAAAAAGTTGAGCACGTTTCTTCGGGACCTACTAGTTTTAGAGTTACCTCTATGCTAGCACCATCTATCATCCATATTCCCAAGCAATGTTTTGCAACCGGAGCATCCCCCGTGCATGTAATTTTTTCACTAGTTGCTTTTCCCTCGTTCTGTCAACGCGTCAGCTGTGTTGAATAAAAACAAAACAGATGGAAGTCAGTGATGTCGGTTCTATGAAATTTTCCGAAGATCTATAGAATTTATTGAATTCTGCAGAAATACGGATCCGTAGGAAAAATTCTCAGAAGCTAAAACTTTTTTTTATGGATTTGTTTTGTTTGCTTAGTGTGCTTTTTCTTTTGTTGGAAACAAGTATTTAAACGAGGTAATGCATCACTTATTAGTGCCCTTTCTACCACCGCTCATCACTTCAATGTGTACACAGAAAATAAAATAATATGTATCAATCAATGATATTCATGGTGAAGTATTGAACATCAATAACTGGTAAAAATTGATAGAATATTACATCCATCAACATGATTTGTTCTCGAATTCTGTGTACATCGTACAACGTAATATTAGGAACGGAATGACTAATGTGCAGCAGTTTTGATGTAATATTCAACAACGTTTTCTTCTGTATTCGTCAGATGTGGTATGTGTTTCCAGTGGGATGCCTTGACCACTTATCATTTTCAAAAGCTGACATCTACTAACTAGACGTAAAAAAGAACTGACATCACTGATAAGTTCGAAATGTGGTGGCTTGCTCAATGCTTCAGTGGCGCTACCATGGCAAAAGCAAGCAC